TAGATGGCCATCTGACAACAGTGCTGATCTAGGAGTCTTTACACCCATGTCAGAAAGCGGAAGGGGTGTTTCAGAGAAGGAACTCAGGATGCAGCACTACAATGCACATTGTAATCAGCTTGATTAGACAAGAAATTCTTTGGGACAAAATGAAAGACACTGCAGATTCCTCGTGGGAACTGGGTCAGGCTAGGATATAGTTGACCTGGGTTTCAAGCCTGATAAGGTAAAGGTAAAGGTTCCCTTGCTCGAAAGTCAGTCGAGTCCGCCTCTAGGGTTGCGGTGCTCATCTCCGTTTCCAAGCTGAAGAGCCAGCGCTGTCCGAAGACGTTTCCATGGTCATGTGACCATGGATGGCCAATACCAGGGCAGAGAGGCTGAGGCCTTCCCCCATTAAGAACATCAGAAGAGCCCTGCTGGATCAGACCAGTGAGGGTCCATCTAGTCCAGCATCTTGTCTCACACAGTGGCCAACCAGTTCCTCTGGAGGGCCAACAACAGGGCACAGAGGCCGAGGCCTTTCCCCTGATGTTGCCTCCTGGCTCTGGAATGCAGAGACTTAGTTGCGGTGGCTCAAGTGGTTAAGACGCTGAACTATGGGCTGTGGAAGGTCGGTAGTTCAGACAGAGTGAGCTCCCGTCTCTAGTTCCAGCTCCTGCCAACCTAGGAGTTTTAAAGCAAGAAATTGCAAGCAGATAAATAGGTACCACTTTGGTGGGAAGGTAACAGCGTTCTGTGCGCCTTGGTGTTTAGTCATGCCGGCCACATGACCACAGAAACGTCTTTGGACAGCGCTGGCTCTTCGGCTTTGAAATGGAGATGAGTCGGATTCGACTGGCTTTCGAGCAAGGGAGACCTTTACCTTTACCTTTATATGGAGGTTCCCCTCAGACACCACGGCTAGTAGCCATAGGTAGACTTATCTTCCAGGAATCTATCTAATCCCCTTTTCAAGCTGTTTCCTTCTTGTTGCCAACACTACATTCTCTGGCAGCGAATTCCACCCTTTAATCACTCACTATGTAAAGTAAACTTGCTGGGGGACCTTGGGCCACTCACACACTTCCATCCTAACCTACCTTACAGGGTTGTTGAGAGGATACGGTGTGGAAGAGGGGAACCACAGACATTGCTCCAAACTCACTGGAGAAAAGGCAGAATAAAAATACACTACTAGACAGACAGAAAGTGCCAAGCTTGCAGTTTTGCTGAGAAAACATATTTCAGAGTTTCTCAACTTTGGGGGCAGGGTCTTCCTCCGCGTCACTTTTCCCCTTCTTGAGGCAACTTTCCTGCTTCAGAGTTTCCGAATCTGGGGGAGGGGAGGTTAAGGTCTTGCTCAAGATTTGGCGGGAACTTTCCACCCGACACCCTTTCCGAGACTCAGCACAAAACCCATCTGTTATCGGTTTGCATTGGCGGTACCATCCAGGGTCAAATACCTCAACTGTGTCCAACGCTTGTTTGACCAAAGGCCAGTCAGTAAATAAAGTCCCATTGCTAAACTTCGAAAAGACAAATGACCCAGATACCCTGGGAAATCAGACTCTGATTTGCTGGGACCAGAGGAGGGCTTTTTTTTTCCTGGCATGGAAACATCTCCAGACATGCGCTCTGCGACTGACAATGCCACGCGTCCTCGCTGTATAAATTGGCCTCAATGGGGTGGAAAGCACCAACTTTTGGTTCATTCCTGTAGGGACCTCCAGCAAAGTTCAAACCTCCCAAAAGACTCTCCTTGAAGCCATGGAAGAATATTTCTCAGCTGTATGCAGGATGGAGCAAGCGGTCCTGTTCCCCAGCCTCCTCCGGGGGATATTCTTGGACAAGACGGACGACCCCACGGAGGCCGACTCCGTGGAGAAAGACCTGTACGAATATTTCATGATGTTGAAATCCATCAAGAGGCTGGTGGAAGGCGGGCTGGCGCCTCTGGAAGGGCAGGACCCCAGCATCGCGACCCGGCTGAGGGAACAGGAGGACCAAGAGAACGCCGACCTGGAAGGATTCTTTTATTACCACGTCTCCAACTTGTACCGCATCCTCACCCAGCTGACCAGAAGAGCTGAGGCGGTGACCACGAAGTACAATGAACTTATGGGGCAGATTTACCAGAACTGAAAGTTTCTTGGGCGGTGAGATGCATACTGTGAAGAGCAAAGGTAAGGGCTTTCTCCCCCTCTCCCCCCCCCAATTTTCTTTTTATTGAGTATCTATACAACTATTTCATACAATATATATATTTGTACTCTATTTCATAATCTAAAACAAAAAAATAGGATGACATTTTATATAACCAGAAAATTAACCTTGGCCCCGTTCACACGGAGAAGACACGAATGTCGGGCGGATTTTCGGTGCGCGATCGCACCGCAACATCTGGGAAGCGTAGCACACCCGTAGCCAACCTGTGGCATCCTGCCGAAGATGCGCAGTAAAGAAGTACCTCGGAAAGTGCACTAGTATCCGGAAAACGCGGGGCAGGGGCGTGCGTCTGATTGCGGGAGCGCTAGTATCCCGTGGCATCCGGCGCCCGTCCACATCCCGTCGCAAACCGGATGCCTTTCGTGAGCACATGCGCACAAACATGTAACTGAAAGCAGAGTAGCTCCGTGGAACTGCACATGCGCACAAACACGAAACGCTTGCCGCACTGCTTCTTTGCCACACTCCAGCATCGCCGTGTGATCGCCAGCTACCGGCCTAAGCGCAAAGCTTCAGGGGACTGTGTGATCGGGCTACCGCGCTTTATTTTGCTCTGGGGCAAACAGCCACGCCTCCCCCCCCCCGCGTTATCTGGCCCGTGTGACCGGGGCCATTAATCCTTTTTTCCTCTTATCCCCATATTCTACCCGCATAATAAACCACCATACAACTCCCTCAAAATCACGTTCTAACCAATAATAATTCGTTAATTATTAGCCACTCAATCTTCTAGCTTCTGTCCTTTACACTCTGTATAATTCTATGTTCTTCTATACCTGAAAAGAAAGCTGGACGGGTAAGGGCTTTCTTGATCGCATAGGCATGTCCCACAGACCTTACTCCCAGGTAAAAACAAATGTCAATAGGAATGGTGCCCTAATCTCAAATGCTAATGATGGATTTAGGGGGTGGCCCTGTGGTTTGCAGAAGAACAGCTAAATCAGAGTCCAGTCACCCACAAGATTTTCACAAGATTTTCAAGTAGAAGAAGAGATCGGTGTTATACCCCGCCCTTCACTACCCGAAGGAGTCTCAGAGCGGCTTACAATTTCCTTTCCCTTCCCCTCCCCACAACAGACATCCTCTGAGGTAAAAGAAGAAGAAGAGATTGGATTTATACCCCGCCCTTCACTACCCAAAGGAGTCTCAGAGCAGCTTACAAACACCTTTCCCTTCCCCTCCCCACAACAGACACCCTGTGAGGTAAAAGAAGAGGAGGAGATTGGA